AGCTACAGTGATCAAAACAATTTGGTACTGGCACAGGAACAGAACCACAGATCAAAGGAAAAGAATAGAGAGCCCATATATATATGATCCCACACATGTATCCCACACAGATAAACCCACACATACATGATCAATTAATATACAATAAAGGAGCCATGAATATACAAGGGGGAAAAGACAGCCTCTTCAACAACTGGTGTTGGAAAAACCGGACAGCTACAAATAAGAGGTTGAAACTGGATTACTATCTTAACTATATACACAAAAGCAAACTCAAAATGGACCAAAGACCTGAATGTAAGACATGAAACCATAAAACTCTTGGAAGAAAACAGGCAAAAATCTCTTGAATATAAGCATGAGCAATTTTTCTCTGGACACATCTCCCTGGGCAAGGGAAACAAAATAAAAAATGAATAAGTGGGACTACATCAAACTAAAAAGCTTCTGTACAGCAAAGGACACCATCAGCAGAACAAAAAGGCATCCTACAGTATGTATGGCAGAATATATTTGTAAACGACTTATCTGATAAGGGGTTAACATCCAAAATATATAAAGAACTCACATGCCTCAATACCCAAAACACAAACCTGATCTAAAAATGGGCAGAGGATCTGAACAGACACTTCTTCAAAGAAGAAATTCAGATGGCCAACAGTCACATGAAAAGATGCTCCACATCACTAATTATCAGGAAAATACAAATTAAAACCACAATGAACTATCACCTCACACCAAATAGGATGGAAAATATCAAAAATACAAGGAACAACAAATGCTGCTGAGGATGTGGAGAAAGGGAAACCTTCCTCCTAAACTGTTGGTGGGACTGGGAATTAATGCAACTGCTGTGGAAAGCAGTGTGGAGGTTCCTCAAAAAACTAAAAACAGAAATACCATTTGACCCAGTAACTCCTCTCTTAGGAATTTACCCAAAGAAAACAAAACCCCAGATTCGAAAAGATATACACACCCCTATGTTGAATGCCGCATTATTTACAATAGCCAAGAAATGGAAGCAACCTAAGTGTCCATCAGTAGATGAATGGATGAAGATATGGTACATATACACAATGGAATACTATTCAGCCATAAGAAGAAAACAGATCCTACCATTTGCAACAACATGGATGGAGCTGGAGGGTATTATGCTCAGTGAAATAAGCCAGGCGGAGAAAGGCAAATACCATATGATTTCACTTATTTTTGGAATATAAATACAAAGCAAAACAAAGGAAGAAAACAGCAGTGGACTCAGAGACACTGAGAAGGGACTGATGGTCACCACAGGAAGGTGTCGGGGCGGGAGTCTGGGTAGGGTGAGGGGGATAAAGGGGCACGAAATTTCCCCATCACAGTGTAGGTTGGTCACAGGGATGGTGGTACAGCATGAAGAGTAGCCAGTGATTCTGTAACATCTTCCTATGTTGGCAAATAGTAGCTGTACTAGTGGGGGTGAGGATTTAATATGGGGAACTGGTGAACCTCTGTGTGGTATGCTTGAAACCAATGTAAGATTATGTATCAATGATACTTAAAAAAAAACCACTTAAATAAATTTTGATATAGGCCTTTAAAAAAAAAAAAAAAGAGAGAAAGAGGAAGAAAAATATCCAAGGGACAGAAACACAAAGCTCTGAATGAGAAAACAGGCTATGGGCCTGTTAGGCTGCAAGGCCTGAAGCAGCGAAGTGGGGCCAGGCGTTTGGCGCACACTATGATGAGGTCTCAGATTCTCCCGCTCAGAACGAAGGACCAAAGTCAGACTTACTACTTGAAGCCAGAGACTAGAGTGAGGACATTCCCGATCAGCCCAAAGAAAGTGGAGGATAAAAACTGCTGCCAACCTACTGCCTGGGGTTGCGGCTTTTTATAAAACTACGGGCACAGGCAGGAGGGAGGGGGCCCTGAGCCACGGATGTGAAGCCCACTGAAACCTTCCGTACAACCGCTGCTGTGCATGGAACTACACTATCCTTTAGAAAGCAACACAATGATCTCTGTTAAGTTGAACCACACGAAACTGTCCATATTCAATCCAAACTGGTAATTTCATTTGGCTGAACCTAACATACACACTCATCAATCTGGCAATTCTATTTCTGTTTCCCTCAGAGACATTTTTATGTACATGCACAAAGAGACATAAAAGCATTCACAGCAGCTTTTGTTGGTCAATAAGCATTTAATAAAAATGTGGGCTCTGGAGCAGACCGCCGGGGTCACACGCCACGCTGCCTCTCCCTCTCACTGCATGTACGGCCCTGGGGACGCTACTTACCTCTGTGCTTCAGTTTCTGCAAACACACAATGAAAAAAACAACGGTACCTGCCTCACAGACTTGTGGTGAGGATTAAACGAGTCAACACAGGTAGCATTTACAACAGTGCATGATGTACAGAAGGCACTCAATATTAATTTTCATATTTACTATTAATTATTGGTAAAAATGGAAGCAACCAACATGTCCATTCACTGGACAATCAGTTACAGGACAGTCACAAATGGAATAGTAAGAACAGGATAAAACAGACATTGACCAATAAGTATTTCTCAAAAACTTATCTCTTAATTGAAAAAAGACTTCCATCATTTGAAAATAAACAACTCTATTTCTTGTTAGTGGATACATACATATGTAATATGAAATCTGTGTTAAGAAAAGAAAAACACCAAATTCAAGTGCATGATTACTTCTGTCAGAAGGAAGGCAATAGGTTAAACATACACATGGGCTTCAAAGGTACCTGGAATATTTCTTGACTATCTGGCAGAGTGGTAGGATTTGCTACACCTAGAGAATGGGTCCACGAGGTGTTTGATTTTAATATTCACTGTATACAGCATGTTTGAACTCTCTCATAGCAATCACTTACCATGTTCAACATTTTCTTCAAATATAACACAGGTCCCAAGAGTGTCTGCAGAAAAATTTGAAAGCAGTTTGAGAAATGAGAGCTACTTTCCCTGCCAGTCACGTAAAGGGAGTCTCATCCGCCCGCATCCTACCTTCATACTCCCCGGCAAAGACATAGCTGTCCACCTGCAGGATGGGCCTCGCGGTGTCGATTCCCTACAACAGAACAGCGGGTCGTAAAACACCCGCCCTGGGGACGCCGCGGGGTGGCGGGAAGGGGTGACGGCGACCCAAGGACAGGGACTTCCAGTGAAGTCCCGGGCGCCTGGTGCGGCCCGGTGGCACCCGGTGGCAATGCTGCTCTGCGCGCCGGGAAGGCGCTCAGGAATCCGCAGAGCGGTCCGCACACACGCGGAACTGCGGCCGCGCGGGGACGGACGCCCACCGGGGGCCTGACTTCCGAGCCAGGCGCCTCCGGGGCGAGGGCAGGATCGGCGGACGGGCCCCGGGCGCCGCGCACGAGCTCGGGCGGCCTCCGCGGGCCCTGCCGGCGACAGGGAGCTGCGGGCCTCCCCGCCCGGAGCCGCCCCGCCCGGGACCCACCAGGATCTTGCACCTGCCGTCGCACTTGGAGAGGAAGTCGGAGTCGATGATGCCCGACAGCTCCACGAGCACCAGCTGCTCCTGCGGAGGACGGGCGGTCAGCGCGCCCGCCGCCCCTCCCCACCCCGCCCCGGCCCGCCCGACCGGCCCGCGCCTCCTGCCTCCTCGGCCTCGCCCGCCTCGCCCTCGCCCGCGCCCCGCTCCGCAGCCGCCGCGCTCCCGCCCCGCGCCGGGCTCCCCGGGCCGCCGGCCTCGCCCGCCGGCGCCGCCATCTTGAGTGCGGGCAGCTGTCCGCCGGCGCCGCTCTTGCCAGGACGCGAGATGGCGGCTGCCGCGCTCGGGCCCTTCCGCGGCCCGGCCCCGAGGGCGGAAGGCGGAGAGGCTGGCGGCGGGGAGCCGACGGGGAAGGCGCGAGGAGGGCGGGAGGCGAGGCCGGGGCCCCGGCGGGATCCCCCCGCGCAGCCGCCACCCCGGCCGCGGGCAGCTCACCAGCAGCAGCCGCCGAGGGCGCCCACGCCGGGGCCGGAAGCGGGCCGTCCTGGCCTTTGAACCCGTGACGCCTGTATTGGGCGCCTCGCGGACCCGGCGGCGTCTCCAGGGGGTTGAGATGCCGGCAGCCGCGGGGCGGGCGCGGCCCGCGGGCTCGGTCAGTGGCCGCCCGGCGGACGGACCGTGTGCCGTCCGTGGCCCCCTTCCCCCGGAAACGCCCGGGTTCGGCGCTTGCGGACATGACCCAGAGGCGGGCAAAGGGCCCCAGCCGGCTGGCCGGGCGGCCGGGGGTGGGCCTGCGGGAGCGCGCGGGCGCGCGGCGAGGCCTGGGGCACGGAGGCTGTTGTGAGCGTTACAGGAGATAATGCACCCAAAACACATACGGCCCAGTATTCGGCGCATGTTAAGCATTTAATGTGAATTTAATCTGTTGGTAACAATATAAAATATTTTAGAGTATGACTTTCTATAAACATTTTCATATATATCCAACTTCTTCCCACATACACACTTTTACAAAAATGTTTTCAAGTTGTATGTTTTTAATTTGCTTTTTTGACTATACAGAGTATCACGGATGGTTTTCAATGTTTTCCATGGTGAATATAGATCAAATTCATAATTCTTAGTAACTACATAGTATTTATTATGTAATATAATGATGTTGTGCAACATTGATAAACACTTCAATAAACTTTCTTACCCAGTGGCCCCATTAAATGAATAGGATTTCATAGCTTAAAAAAAGTGGAGCGCTCAACCTGTTAGAAGTTGAAAATTTGAATTCTAGCTCTGAAACATACATTTTCTCGACCTCAACGTTCTTATTTATTAAATGAGGATAAAAACATTTATACTTACTGTATATTTTTTTGTTTGAAAATTAGATCAGGCATCTGAAAGTAATTCTAAATCGAAAGAGTATATAAATTGTCAGATTTTCCTGGGGGTAAAAGGAGGGTAAAGGGGCAAAGGGTGATCCAAGCTGAGGGAGCCTCAGGGCAAAGGCTGCAGAATGAAGTGTGCGCGTTGGTCAAGGTCAGTGTGGGAACCCAAGATTTAAATTAACAAGGCTCATACTTCTAGCCAAGTTGTTTACTGTCATTACTGTTTACTGTTTTAAAGTAATTATTTTTATTTATTTTGAATGATCTGCAAAAGGGTGTAGAGTGAAAAGTGAGCCTTTCATACCTGTCCCCAAGCCCCCCTTCCTCTGGTAGCCATTTCACCAATTTCTTATATACCCTTCCAGAGATTTCTATGTATTTACAAAACTGTATGCATACACAAAAATATGTAATTTTAATATTATAGCATATAGACTAGAAAAACATTTCCTTGGGAGAAAAGAAGACATTATAGTATTGGCTTCATGACCTAATGCTCTTGCCCTCTGAAAATTAGCTTAAAGGTTAAAATATCTCTCAGTCAGAAAACAGTAATTTATTGGGCATAATATCCAATCAGCATCAGCTTTGAAAAAGAGGGGAAAAAAGAAGACTTTTTAGGAGGAATTTCTATGGTCTGGCTTGGTGTCCATTCTTAATGGTTCCTACTCTCAATCCTAAAAGAGAATAAGGCCAAGATACCAGCTTTAAAGACAATCTCTGCTTAACAATAGAAGCCAAATGTTGTTTAGGTATATAATGGAATCTTATTTGGCAAGGAAAATAAATGAAGTAAGATACATACTATGACATGGATGAACTTGAAAATACTACGCTAAGATGCCAGGGGCAAAAGACCATATACTGAACGATTCCATTTATATGAAATGTCCATAGTTGGCAAACCTATAAAGAGAGGAAGTAGATTAGTGGTTGCCAGGGCCTGGGGCAAAGATGAGGAATGACCACTACTGTTTGTGGGTTTCTTTTCGGGGCAATGAAAATGTATGAAAACCACTGAACTGTATACTTTAAAATAGCAAATTGATGGCATGTGAGTTATTAAGCCATAATTAAACAACAACAACAGACACAGCTACAGTTTTAAACTGAATAGGGAAGAGGAATTGCTTGGGTGATAAAGGAAACATCTTCGAAGGTCGCCTCAGGACCAGATGCCATGGCAGCTGCGTGGCAGAAGTATAATTGGGTCCTGGGCTCAAAAGGATGGCGTAAGGACCCATGTCTGAGAGGGGAAGTTGGGCTGGTCACGTGTCATTAGCCTGTTTCAACGGAACCGGGGTTAGGCCACTCCGGACGGTCTCAGGAGGTAATTATCATTATGGGTGATGTTCGAAATATTTAACAACGGGTAGGGCACAGCGCTCAGCCATCCCATAGGAGGGTGATGGGCCAGGAGGGTGATGGGGAGGCCGAACCTCCATTTTGCACCTTAGGAAGCTGACTTAGAAGATTAGGAGACTTAACAGGTGAAGGAGGGAAACAGAATGTTCTGCCCCTTGGTCTGGGCACTGGCCGCGTGAGTGTCCACAAAGTGAAGTCCATCGGGCTCTGCTCCAACGTTTGTGCACTTTATTGGATATGCCTCAGTTAAAAAAAAGAAAAGAAAATTAGGCAACTTGCTCATCTGACATATTCTTCTACTTTGATGTCTTTTCTGGTAGCAGGAGAGTCTGAACAGAGACCGTAGAATCACCAACACCTGCGTCAGGCTAGCGAGGCTCCGAGGGACGAGATGGAGCGCCCGGACCTGACAGCTGAGAGGGAGACAAAGACCTGGGGGCCCGCACGTGATGAAACCGGCCAGCCACCCGACCGTACGGCAGGACGGGAGGGCTCGGGTCCGACGCCCTGGCCTGGGCGCGTGTCCGTGCTGTGCCTCCGCCCTTTTGCTTTGTCCTTTGTTGTGTTTCCGGATATGTGAATCACAGCCACAGACGTGGATATGTAAGAAAAATCATGCTTCTTTATTTTCCTTAAGTCGAATTGAACTTGCTCGACTGAGCCCCTGTCACATCAGGGTGGCAGGAAAATGTAGTCTGTCTGTTCCCCCCCTTTGCATCCCCAGGTCGCGCAGTGTTGGGGGAGACCTCTCCAGCCCTCAGCCCACACTGGTAACGGCTGAGAAGGTGGCATGGCTGAAGCCGCGCCGATGCTTCAAGTGCAGGGTGTCTGTCGGGCAGCGCATGGGGATCCCTGGGAGGTTTAGGAATCCCAGTGTGGAGAGGCCCCTTCCTCTGCAAACCCTCGGCCTTGGCACCTGCTGGGGCAATGAGGATGCACCCATTTACTTTCCCTCCTGGCGTAAGGAACTAAGCCCCTCCCCCTTCTCCCTCTCGGACATCCAGCGTAATGTCTTCGATGAACTCCAAAAAGCCAGGAAGAATTGCCCTCTTTCAAGTAGCTTCAGGTCTCCATTCTTTAGACATCCAGACGAAGTAATACAAATGGCCTGGCTACCTGCTTGGTAGGGATAAAGCGGGAAATGGAGGGTGTTAGTGTTTCCATAAATTATCCTGCCATGTCAATAAAATCTTGTAGAAAAAAAAAATCGAACCTGGTCTTGAGGCTTTTAAGAGTTAGGGAATCTGTTTACACCCTAGGTCAGTGTAACCTGGGAGCTTGAAGGTCAAAATGCTCATCAAAAGGAGACTTGATGGCAGTGGCGATCCCAGTGCCCTGGAGATTGTGAGTGGTTCCGGGGGCACCGCAGGAAGGGGGCGGTGCTGAGAGGAGAGGGTGGGCCTGGGGGTTGCTGCAGTCCTGCGAGGGAGGAGATGACCTCAGAGCATCCAAAGGATGACATTCCACTAAGGAGCCATGGGCGACCGAATGAGGGGAAGTTTGTAAGTCAGATCAGAAAGAGCCCTGGAAGAGGCGAGTGTGTGGTTATCTCGGGCCACAGCTGTAGGTAACAGGGTCATGTGGCGGGTAGGGCCAACTGATTTTAACTGTAGTTAATAGGAGGACTCTTAGGAAAAAATTTCAGAAGTATTTCTGAGAAACAAATGGGGTGTCGTGCTCCGTATTTAAAAGCCGGCCACTAGGAGGAGACAAATGGATCGGAACCATTTAGACAGCTCTTCTTCTTTCAAAACGCATGTTCTAAATTACGAAGAGCCTGTATGAAAAATACATTTAGTGGCAGAATTCTAGTAAAAGCCCTTCGTGTGTATTAGCACGTTGTCTTAAAAATGAACATTCTACACTTAACAGTTCATATTCCATTAAGGTCTTCTTAAAAGAGACCTTTTACTCTGCTTTAGCTTCGAAAGCTAAACGCGACAGCGGTGGCCCTCGAACCTCGCCTGCGTGAGGATCCCTGGAGGGCTCTACGCACAGGTGCGCAGCCCGCCACCCGCAGCTCCTGGCCCCGGAGGCCTGGTTGGGCAGGACACAGAACCGGCATTTCTGACACGGTCCCCGGCGGCGCCCGAGCTCCTGGTCTGGGCACCCACTTCGAGAACAACCACTCTGCTGGGCGGCTGCGGCAAGCCAGCTGCCAACAGGCAGGTTCAATTACATGCCGAGAACATACGAGGGTGTTTCAGTTTGTGAAAAGGAGCTTAGTACCAGAACTAAGATCGGAATGATCATTTTTGGAGGGCTTTGCATTCAAAAGGAAGCACTTCACTTAAGTGGGTAGCAGCGTGGCGGGCCCAGAAGGAAGCTCGGGGAGTGTCTCAGGCAGCGGGGGGGGGACAGGGCAGAGCCTCACAAGGAAAGGAATCTTCCTTTCACGGTAAAAAGAACACGGATGGACGAGGATCAAGGTCTGCGAAACTTTCTAAGGGTAACGGGGGTCTGCCGAGAACTCTCTGCGGAGGAGGGCGACCTTCCCTGAGGGCTCCCCACCCTTTATATGTTCTCCGCTGCTAGAGACACTGCTGTGGGGGGCGGACAGAGCCCCCTTCCAACAGCGTCGGCGCCGAGGGAGAACCTAGGTCGTGCGGCCCACTGGGTGGGGGGCGGAGGGCGAAGCCTAACGGTGCACCTAAGGGCCTGGGTGACTGGCTAAGCGCGAGGTTTTTGTTCGTTTGTTTCCTTGCTTTTTAAAGGAATAAGCAAAACACAAGGAGGGGCCTGAGCCCCGGGGGTCCGGTCAGGCGGAGCTCAAAGCTGGGGTCGCGATGTCGCCCTGGAACTCAGGAGGGTTTGGAGAGTGAATTCTAGAGGCATTTTTTTTTTTAAGTTGTAACTTTTTCCTAAAATCTGGTCTTAAGAGGTTTCAGGTAAGTGGATTCTTCAAGGGGAGGGGTGAGAGGTCAGGAGAGAAAGGAAATTTCAGTGTGAAAAGCAAGCATTTGAGTCTTACTGACCTAAAAGGGCAGCAGAGGTGTTAGAGGGTCCAGCGCGGAGGGTCGGGCCCAGGGACCGGGGACAAAGCCCGCAGGGCGCCCGGCGGGGAGGCGGCGCGGGGCGCGGGCGGGGGCGGGGGGACCCGGGGGCGGGGCCGCAAGTAGGGGAGGCAGGGGGACGCCCCAGGTGGAAAGGCGGCGGGCCTGGGCGGCCGTCCCGAAGGGGAGGCCCGCGAGGAGGGGCTCTGGGAGGGCAGAGGGGGGCCCGGCCCAGGCTCCCGGGGCCGAGACGCTGGGCGCGCGGCGCCCCTGGGTGGTTCCGACGCGCACTTCAGCTGGACACTGAGCTGGGCCGGCGGGGCTTTCTTTTTACCCATTCGAGAACTTGCAGCGGAACCCACGGAGAGGCCCAGCCTGCTGGTGGTGGGGGAGAAGCCGAGGCCGGTTCCCGGGACGACGAGGGGGCTGCAAGCCGGGGCCGGCGGCGGGCAGTCCCGGAGGCAGGGGGGTGCGTGCGGGTGTCCTGGGCCCAGTCACCGCAGCTCCCAGCCGCGGCCCCATCACTCTATTCTTAGTTCCTATGATATTCTTATCTCTGTTGCCACACGTGTCCTTAAAAATAGACTTCCCACTACTTGAGTGACCGAGTGCATCTGTGCCCCAAAAACCTAAAAAGCTGAAATAGCTCCAAAGTACATGGAGCAAAAGTTTAATAGAAAGAATTCATTTTTTAAAAACCAAAACTTGGGCACTTATTTTTTTATTCTTTCAAAAAAACATTCGCTACCATCTGAGCCATGTTTAAGTGTACAGTTCAGTAGTTACATGATTCACGTTGCTGTGCAATCACTCCGTCATTTTTCCATCTTACAAGGCTCACTTTTTTAATAACTGCTTTTTGATGAAATGTTTTCCTGCTATCATCTTCCGCCCGAACAACAACCTCTCTCCTCCTCGCTGTCGGGTCCGACCGTGCAGGCCCACCCTTGGCACCTCGTCCTGTCCTGCCCTGTCCCGTCCTGTCCTATTTAGTGGCCTCTTTATCCAGCTCACTCCGAACAACTCCTGTGTTTTCAACCCGAGTGTCCCCTGACCTTTCCTCTCCTTTTCCTGAGCTACTGCTGAATCAGTAACCTTCCCACCCTTCAATCTTAACATCTTATGTGTGTGGTGTCTTTATCTCTTCTTTTTCTAATTTTTTATGTGGCTCTCATTTTTCATACTGACCTTCAGACACCGGTCATACAGCTCAGAGAGCGCTGTCCCCGTCCACTGCCGTGAGGTGGGAGGCTGGCGGGCCCTGGGAGCGGGCCGCAGGGTCCCAGCCCACCTGGCTCCCCGACCACTCGCATCTGCCGAAAGGGGCTGGACTGGAGGAGCTGATCTCTAACTTCTCCCCCACGACATTGCCCACACTAGTATATTTCACTTTGTCGTCTTGACGGCATATCCCCTTTAGTCTATATACAAAACATTAAACAGCTTGGGCCTGCAGAGTAAACATTTTATGATCCATGCATTTCAAAAAGGAAGTCAAGGTTCTCAGAACAGAACTGTCAGTGTCCCAACAGTTTAATTTGCAGGCACAGTTTGGTTTGCAAGGGATCCATACCTTATCCAACCGCACATTCTTCCTTCTCACTCACCAACAACCCCTTTTGTCCCAACCGCACCCAGTCTGCGGAAACTCAACACCCTGCCTCTTTTTTTCTCTTTTTGCCACTGGGCCTTTGCTAATGTCGTTTACCTTGCCGGTCCGACCTCTGCCTCTTGCCAGTCCATGCCCACTGCTTCTTTCACTCCGAGAAACCTGCCCTGGCTGGCCCACTCTGATCGTTCATTCATTCATCACACCTACATTAACTGAGCATTTAATACTTGCCCGGCCTCCCTACGCTTTTCCTACCACTTTATACAACTGCTTAATTAAATAAACAAGGAGGCCATTAGACTGATGTGGCCCCCCTGCCGAGGCAGCCTACAGTAAGTGAACCAAAACGAAGCCTGTAAGTGCCTCAAGGCTACAAACTCGAAACCCCGAAGAACAGCCAGTCACCAACAGCCACCTACACTCGGAGCCACAGCGGGTCCGGAATCGCCTCTGCCCAGCTTCTCTCCGGAAGTGTCTCCCAGGCGCCTGTCTGTGGGGCCCTCTCACGCTGCCCCATGACAATCCATGTTTGCTCAAAGAAGTGCAAGATCTTTAAGATGCCTCAGTTTATCTTTTAACACAGCTTTAAATCATTTTTCACATTCTGCTTTCCATTTGTCAGTTTGTGTATGTGGGTTTTTTTTCTCAACTTGATTTTAAATGCCTGGAGTTAATTTTTTTTGGCTTCTGTGTACAATATTGAGGGTTCATTGTGGTTAATGAATGAATGGATGACGGATTAAATAAATATGTGAAACTCAGAGGAATTTAAGGGAAATACTTAACTAGAATGTAGAAGTCATTCTCATTTAAATCCAGCAGCTTTGAGGGTCACATTTTAGATGCCTCAGCTGAGTGGCCCATCTCTGGACTGTGTACTCTGCCCTAAGCTTTTTTGACCCTTACTCATTCACTAACTTACAGTATTTCTTCTCTATAGACGAGAGTTAATCGACCCAGTAACTGACACTGTTCAAGTGTTCAGGAGGTGCTTGTAATTACTGAAAGGGATTGATGTGTGCTGCATTCAGCCTTCGCAATAATAGAACAAGTCCTTCGTGGCAGGGACTCACACACACAGATACCATGAACACAATTCTGAGTGCAGAGTGGGCACTTAATAAAATCTTTTTGAGTGGATGAATGAATGGCAGAAACATATTTTTCCCTTAGTAGAAAGAATCTTTCCTTAAGTCAGTATCTTTCAGAGTGGTACTGGGCTCTGTGCATTAGAACTGCTTGCGAAGCTTGTTAAAAATACAGATTCTCTAGCCACACTGCAGACCTGCTTGGAATCAGAATCGTCAGGGTGAGGTTGGGTGGGTGTGAGGCTCAGAAATATGCTCTTTTAACACGTGCCTCAGATGATGGGATGCCCTGGGGCGTTTGAGCACCTGGCCCTCAGCGCAGGGCAGGGCTGACAGGCCCAGAGGAGGCTGCTTGGCACTTAGCAGCATACAACTGGGAGCTGTGGCTGGAGTTCATCAGACTCTACCACTCAGGAAATGCATGTCCTGGACGTGCTGTGTACCCATCCCGTGCCTCAGTTTCCTCATCTACTGGGAAGAAGACTGTAATTGTGTAATAAAGTTGTGAGCATT